CGAGGGGCTCGGGTGCGTTTCGAATATGTTTTGGATAGTTTTAAATAGCTGATGTAGCATCTGGTGTGGTTACTCCAGAGGTCTCGCAAATATTAAAACCTATTTACAAATGCGAGCTTTGCCTTTGCGGAGTCAGGCTCGCATTTGTGAATGGGGAATGGGAACTGAGCGCTTTTCTTTTCCTAAGTCGTGGTCGCATTTGCGAGCTAGAGGGCATCACATTTGCAATCAATGTGTCGCATTTGCAACTCAAGGATGGACTGAACTACCTTTTCAAATGTGAAGGATGCATCACTTTTGCAATGAGTGGACATTGCACAAATGCAAAGTTTGTGTAGCAATTACGACATCTAAAGGACTCAGAGGTTGTACCCTTTTGCAAACAGTGTTTTGCTTTCGTGAACATCGCAATTGCGAACAGGAGTTTGCAATCATGATATCTTCAGCTCGGTAAAATGTGGGATTTTGGGACTCAGCTCATTTTACACCATTTGAGAACCCTAGACTCCAAAGAGGCGATTTTGGAAAGCAATTTCTTTCCAAATTTATAGGTTAATAATCTTAACTTGATTTTGTTCAATTTCAATGGCTTTTTCATCAATTTTATCACTAAACTAGGAATTTCAAAGTACAGATTAGGGGTTTTGGGTAGAATTTAGGAATTTTGCAAAATTGATATTTAGAACTCAAATTTGGTCGGATTTCCAAACAAATCATATATTCTGGCTCAGGGGTGAATGGGTAATCGGGATTTTATCTTAATTTTGGATTTTGACCACGTGGCCTGATTTAACTTTTTGTTGATTTTTTAAATTAATTTAAAGATATGGTAGTTTCTAAAGTTTGTTTTGAGTACTTTGAACAATATTTGACTAGATTTGATTGGTTTGGAGGCTTATTCTAAAGAAAAAGTCGTATTGGATTGTTCATTGTGTTCTGAAAAGATGTAAGTGCCTTGGTTAACCTACCTTTGAGGGAAATAGGGTAGAATTGAGTCTATTTGCTATGTGATCTATGTGTTAGGTGCAGCGTATATACAAGGCGACATGTGTAGATGTGTTGGCCATGGGATAAGCTTGCACGTAGAATTAGCCTTACTTGTTCCATGTTATTTTTGTATTGTTGCTTCCCACTGTAGATAGAATGTTTAATTCTTTAATTTCTCGTATTCATTTATTTTCTATGTTGATACTATTGAGATATTAGTGTTGAGATTCGCAGAATTATTGATTAGTTGTTGGTGCTATTTGTTGGTAGATTCTCATATGACGAATTGTGTTCAAATACTATTGTTCGTGTTGAATTTTGCTTCCCCCTTGCTTGGTAGTACATTATACATGACTGCTTGGTAAGGAAGAGTGAAGTGCGTGAAGGGTTTTCGATGCTTGTGAGGAAGAGTGATTGTGCACAAAGGATGTTTTTGTGCCTTATTTAAATATTAATATTTTTGCTTGAGTGAACGTGAGGATATGCATGATGGGTATTTTCGTACAATTATTATTATTTTATCAAGTGAGGATGAGAGTAAAATCATGAAGGGTGATGTCGCACAATTATTATTATTTTATCATGTGAGGATGAGAGTAAAAGTAGGAAGGGTGATGCCGTGAAACATTGTTGATTTCATTGCTCTTTACTTTGACATTGGGAATGTGGACTTGTCTTTGTGGTTTCATTATATACTTTTGAAGGAGGCTTACTCTGTGACACTTCTAATTTTCGTTTCCGTTTTATGTCCCTTTACTTGTGTACTTGTTACCCCTTCTACTTGTCATTATACTGTTGTTACATTTATACTTTATCTGTTACTTCATTACTTCTTGATATATAATTGCACAGGTTCATTGTAGGTGTCTTGTCTTAGCCTCTTCACTACCTTGTAGAAGTTAGACTCGACCCTTACTGAGTATATTGGGTCGGCTATACTCATACTATACTTCTTCACTTCCTGTGCAGATCAGAATATTGGTACCAGCACAGTCCCGAGAGGTTCTTAGAAGATACCGCGCATGTGATTCGAAGTAGAGTTGCATTCCATTTGCAAGCCTTGAGTCGTCTTCTCACTCTATTGTACTATTTCCATTATTCAGATATTGTTGTATTTCCTTCAAAACATTTAACGTAGTAAACTCTATGAGCTCATGTACTTGTGACTCCATATCATGGGATGGTTTGCGTTAGATGTTGATTATAGAATGATTATGTATATCATCGAGTTGTTTATACGCTTTGTTATTACTCTGTTGCTAGTCATATATTGCAATTCTTTTATATCTAACTGTTGTGTGGTGGCTTGCCTAGGAAGTAGTATTAGGTGCCATCACAACCCAGATTGGTTGGAATTTTAGGTCGTGACAAGTTGATATCAGAGCACTAGGTTGTATAGGTCTCACGAGTTATGAGGAGGCTTAGTAGAGTCTTGAGGATCGGTACGGAGATGCCTCTACCAATCTTCTAGAGGCTATAAGGCTTCAGGAGAACTTCACATTATTTATTTCTCTATCTTGCAACTTTGTTCTATCATAACATTTGACTTCTCTTATGCTCTCACAGTTGGTGAGGACACGTGCTTCGTCCGTCGGTGCTCAAGAGCCAGAGCCCTAGGTTACAGCCACTACAAGGGATAAGGGGCCAGGGCAAGGGCAGAGACCGAGGTAGAAGTAGAGCTCAGTCTAGAGCACGCACAACAACACCTGTTGTCGAGCCTCAAGTAGAGCAGGATGATGACATTCTGGATCAGGTTGAGCCAGTAGTACCGGCTCAGGTCCTAGAGGGTTTTATTGCAACCCTTGTGCATCAGGATGCCTGGTTGGTCATATGAAGAGTATGGCTCAGGCTGATGTGTTTACTTTGGAATGAGCCATTTCTTAGGTCGGAGGAGGAGTTAAAACTCCCGCTACTCATACTCCAGAGCAGATGGCTCCATGGATATCAAACCCCAAGAGTTCTACTAGTTTGGGTGGTTAAGCCTATTGTTGCTACACAGACCAAGGAGAGACCTGCGATGTCAGCTGATGAGCTTAAAAGGTCGGACATGTTGACCAAGTACTATCTCCCTCACATTAGTGGTACACCTTCTGAGGACCTCCAAGACTTCTTGGACCGTGGCCATGAGATTTTGCGCAACATGGGGATAGTGGAGTCCAACAAAGTTGACTTCACGTATTTCAGATGTATGGTTCTACCAAGAGATAGCGGTAGGTATATGTGTAGGGTACGCTAGCGGGACCACCTCCTCTCACATGGGTTTAGTATTCGCACATTTTTTTCGATAAGTTCATTCCCTTTACTCAAATAGTAAAGTTTTGCATTCGGTTCTAGAGGATTCTGCAGGGTAGCATGACCATTACTTAGTATGAGACTAGATTTGAAGATTTGTCACGACATGCAGCTATCTTGATCCCTACTAACAGGGAGAAGGTGTGAAGGTGCATTGATGGTCTTGCCTATGGAATCAGACTTCAGATGGCCAGATAGATCGGATCTGATATTTCATGCACTCGGGTAGTGGAGATCGTCAGGAGGATCGAGCGCATCAAAGTCCAGGATAGGGAGACGACCCCTGAGAAGAGGCCCCGTCATTTTGAAGGATTTAATTGTCCCTCGTCTGGAAGCAGGGGTTCCTTTGGTAGAGGCCATCCAATCAGGTTATTTCAACCAGCTCTACAAGTCACCCATGGTACATCAGGCAGCCACAGTACTTATAGATATCATCCCGAGCAGCTAGCATACAGTGCACCTCCAGATCTGATCAGTTCACCTGCGATATACAGTTACCAGGGTGGTTATTTAGGTCGATAGGGATAGCTCCAGGTCGGCAATCATGTCAGCTAGGGGCTTGTTATACATGTGGGTATCCGAGGCACGTTGCGAAGTTTTTCCTCAGGTCATAGAGTTGTATGACTTAGAATGGTGCTCGTGCTCGACCACCTACAAAGCCAGGTAGAGGACAGGGTGGAGGCCAGATAGTTAGAGGTAGAGGTTAGTGAGTAATAGGTCGTCCTAGAGATAGAGGACATGTTGGTGGGTCTTAGCTCCATTGTTATGCATATCCATCTAGACCTGAGGCGCAGTCGTCTATTGCAGTTATTACAACTATTATCTCAGCCTGTCTTAGAGATGCTTCCATGTTGTTTGATCTGGGTTTCACATATTCTAATGTGTCTTAATATTTTGCTTCGCATTTGAGTATGCCACATGATTTTATTGTATTTGATCGGGTATACAAGTCTTGTGCTATTACTATTAATGGTTTTGATACTGTAGTTGATCTTTTGTTGTTGAATATGATAGATATTGAGGTCATTCTTTTGTATGGATTGTTTGTCCCCGTATCATGTTACCTAGGATTGTCATGCCAAGACTGTGACTTTAGCCATGACGGGGTTTCCTTGATTAGAGTGGAAAAGGATCCGTGGTCACTCCACTATCAGGGTGGTTTCATATTTTAAGGCTCGGCGTATGATTGAGAAGGGGTGTTTGGCATATTTTTCTTATATTGGTGATTCTAGTGCGGATGTTGATAACACAAAGTTTGGGAGATCCTAGAACTTAAAGAAAATAAGTTGAAGAAATGAGGGAGTAGTAAAGAGATGCAACTGAATTGAGAAAAACAAGAAAAATAAACTAGATATTTGGAAATTCAAGGAAAGATCCAAGAACCCCGAGATTACGTTCATCTAGATTTTGACATGATACTAATGACAACAAGTTGGTTATGAAACCAATTGCCTTCACTAGAGGTAAGCTAATCAAGAACTAGATTAGGATCTTGACTTCTAGTTTGAATAACTTACGACAACAACTAGTAAAAGAAACTAGTCGCCTTGGAAGAACATAAAAAGAAATCAAAGATATCACAAGAAATAAAATTATCTTACTACCTTAAGCTAAGAACTTGTTAGGGTTGCTAGATATATATCAAAATAAAGTTCACAAAGGTTCAAAAGAACTCACAATAAAATTCACAAAGGAAGATCTTCGACAGAAAAGAGGAGATAATGCAGCAGACACAATTGCAAGGTGATTTGAGTCAAAGATTGACTAGTGTGTGCAGCAATGGTAAATTCAAAATACAGAACTTATACAAGAAAATGGTGCCAGAATACAGTAAAATTGCGTGGAGAGGAGTAATGCAACATCCAAGTGTGCATCCAAGGTTCAGGTTTATCTTATGGCTTGCAATGCAAAGAAGATTAGCAACTGTGGAAAGATTGATGAAGATAGGCATCACTGTCCCAGCTGAGTGCGTTTTCTGTAAACAAGCAAAGGAAACTTTTAACCATTTATACTTTGAATGCTCGATCACAAGCAGACTATGGGCTAAAATGTGTAAATGGCTGGGGTATACAAGGAATATAGGGGACTGGGAGTGTGAATTGATGTGGATCAGTACAATAGCAAAGAGCAGGAAAGGTATTAATGGCATCACTTGTTGTATTTTTGCTATGATGGTTGTTGTGATATGGAGGGAGAGAAACAGAGGCAAATTTGAGCAGAAGAAGTATGATGAACAACAGATTTGCAGGGAGATGGTCCAACATGTCCATGTACGAGGGAAGAAACAAAGCAAATGAAAAGAAGCATTGAAGCAGCTGAATTTTTTTCCTTGATATTGTATAGACAGTATATGTTACACCCCAAGTTTTCATACGTGAGAGTACGTCATAAGTCATTGATGTAAGCTCGGAAATGAGATTATATTTGGAAGCAAATAAAGTAAGTTAATCATGTTACCTTGGAGGCTACAAATATTTAAGATCATGAATAACAAGTACCAAGAGGGTTGGAAATCTTAGAAGCTAAACCAATTGAAGAAAATAAGTTTCATCAAAAATCGACAAGTTTGGAATGTTATAACATATTCTTTTGGGGTGAGACTAGGGTGATTAACATGATGAGGAGGTTAATTTATGAGTTATTGTAGTCGTATGATAGTCGTGTGTTATGTTTTTAAGTCAAACGAGTTATGGAACAAAGTTAGCAAACAAGTTGCATTTATAATGTGCTGAAATTTAGGTCAAATGTAGATGCACTTTTCTCCAAATATACTTGGAATCATGGGGTGTTCTACCTGCCAAATTGAAGATCAACGAGTCTAGTTTCTAAATCATTAAACCGTTCATCAATACGACATCGGAGTAGAGAGATATTCGCGTTTTCGCGAGACCGCGCAAGAAGCTCCCAATGGGACCCACTTAGGCGGTGGTCGACCTACTTCACTTTATAAACGATTTGGACGCCTATTTTTCACTTATTTTCAACTCAACTTCGTCTCCAAACTTCTCCTAACCCTTCTAAACAGATTCCACAAGGGTTTGAAGTGATTCCAAAGTGATTACACCATATTTCAACATCAAAACCTAGTTCTAGTGAAGAACAACACCTCTTTGAGGTTGTGTTGTCATTGAGGATTGTTGTGGGCTGTATTTGGATGAAATTCCAAGTTGTTGCTGCTGTCTAAGGTGTGTATAACAGCCTACTAATTGTGCTTAAGCTTGCTTGTATGTTGGTTAAGTTGTTAGGATGATAAACTACAAGATAATACTTGGATAACTTAAGTCACTTCTATGGTGTTGTATTGCCATTGAGGGTTGTTGTAAGCTGAATATAACTTGGATTTCGACTTGAAGTTACTATAGGAGGTAGGTATATTGTGTTCTTGCATGTTCCTAAGGTTATATTGATGTTGATTAAGTTAAATGGATGGAGTAGACATGAACTAGTGAATAAAGTTACTAATTGAAGATAGTTGGAGTTGTGGATTGTTTCCTTTGTTATAAATATATGCTATAAGGATGGAATCATTGATGAATGACTTAATTATCATGTTAATGATACTGTTAAATTAATGTAAGAAGTCTATAAGGGGTGATATGGGTTATACGGATTCCAATCGGAGCTTGCCGTTCGTCGTGAAGTAGTTGTGACTTGTTGTTGTTATATGGTGTCTTGTTATTGATATTTATAGGTTGCTGGACTTCCCTGGCTGTTGTTGTTGGTATATGGTATTGGAGGAGGCCCTTGTTACAAGGGAGATGCTGCCCGAATTTACGTAGACGAGCTACTAGCTTAAGTTACAGACTTAGCCTTTGTTCAACACTGATTTTGAATCTCCTTATGCTATGATAGATCGAGTTGACTTGCTTGAAGAGTTGCTTGGAAGGTATTAAGGACTCAACATGTTTAAGGTATGTTAAGGCACTTCCTTCTTTCTTTTGGCATGATCTAAAGTGAAATGAATATGCTATTTCATAACGGATCTACTCCTAGAACTAAGGTTGTCCATGTTGTTCTTTCCGTTCCTTGAATCCTACTGAGGTTCATATTGAGGGTATGGATGTCCATAATGTTCTTACGTCACTCCGAAAGGTTTAGAACGTGATTCCATGAGTCTAGCATGCATTATATATAGTATCTATTTTACTCTACCGAGCCGCGCTATAGTCGGCCGGGTATGGCACCTATTGTGCAATCACTGATCAGTTGGGTTTACCGAGCTCCACGTGGCCGGGTATGATTCTACCGAGCCTTATGATGGCCGGGTACGTTTTTACTGAGTCCTCTTTGAGGCCGGGTACGATATGACAATGATGATGCCCACAGAGGCGTATGTTTTTAAAAGTTTATGTATATATATGTATTATGCATTTCATGTCAGTAGCCCCCAGAGGCACTCAGATATTACAGGTTGTATCTCCTCTATCTCTCTTTACATTATTGTTCTGGTTTATGTTTTCCTGCCTTACATACTCGGTACTATATTCGTACTGACGTCCTTTTTGCCTGGGGACGCTGCGTTTCATGCCCGCAGGTCCCGATAGATAGGTTGACATTCCTCCTAGTAGGCTATCAGCTCAGCGAAGGTGTTGGTGTACTCCACTTGCTCCGGAGTTGCCTATTTGGTCAGTATGCTTTGGATATGTATTGATTGTATGGCGGGGCCCTGTCCCGACCTTTATGATTTTATGTACTCTTAGAGGCTTGTAGACAGATGTCAGGTGTATGGATACTTGTATGGCCTTGTCGGCCTATGTTTTGAGTTTACAAATGGTCATGTCGGCCTTATAGGCCCGTATGTCACATGTATAAGTTTGTATATCATGCTGGGTCATCATACGTTAAGTATTCCCTTATGTTTTATTCTTGTTATCTCATGAAGGGTTTTCTAGCTCATTTACCCATGATAGTATGATAAGAAAGATATGTTACGTTGGTACTCGGTTGAGTAAGGCACCGGGTGCCCGTCGCGGCCCTTCGGTTTGGGTCGTGGCAAACATGGTATCAGAGCAGTTCTGTCCTAGGGAGTCTACAAGCCGTGTCTAGTAGAGTCTTGTTTATGGGTTTGTTGTGCACCACACTTATAAGTAGGAGGCTACAGGGCATTTAGGTCTGTCACTCTTTCTTCTTACTCTAGATCGTGTAGTAGAGCTCAGTTGTAAGAATTCAAACTCCTAAATTCGACTTTAGTCGTAATACAACGGTACCTACATCCACAAAGACAGTTGGTAAGAGATTGCATGTGGCTGTGGAAGAGTTGAGTCAGAGGAACTCGATTTCACATCATGCTTATGATGAGTAAATGTGAGGTCTTCAGCAGATCATGTGTGTACTAAAATGTGTAAGCTTCTTAATAAGGAGCCTTAAGGCAAGGATATCTATTCACGAATATGGTGAAAAACCTATGAGGGATTCAGAAGCTAGATACAAGTTTCAACAAGTAAAAGAAGTAAGGTGGAGAGGGGTACAAGGCACCCAGTTAACGAAGATTATCAATATTTTCAAATCAGGCGGAGAAATATAAGCATTTTGGTACCTTCATCAATGACAGAGGTACGTACAATTGGCCAGACCCATCGCAGTTATGTTCTATGGGAGCTAACAAATATTATTTAAGAGAAGTATGGGATATCAGGATCCAGTTGGAGTTAGAGTAACCCAAAAAAAATTGTGGATGGGTTGTTATCACTAACTAATGTTTCCGAAAGATGGTGCAAATATGGTAGTAGATCTCCTTGTAAGACACCCAGAAGGTGAACTCTAGAGCAGTACAATCAGATATGAATACTGGAATATTCAAAAATTTCAGAAGATTGGCACTGTAATCCTAGAAGGAACAAATATTTACCTTAGTATGACTTTAGCCCCGAGTAAAAAAAATGTTAGGCATTCCAAAGAGCCAGTGAGATGAAGCTAGGGGAGCTAAAGGGGAAAGAACTTTTTGTTGAAGTTTTCAGAATAAAGTGATAGACAAAAAAAAAATATTATCCAGAGAATAAGAAGAAAGTAAATGAAGCATCATGAGTAAGATGTGATATATGGGTGATAACAGTAAATCAAAATATGACACGATGACAGAGTCTATAGTCAAGTTAAGGAAAAGAAAAAAGGTGACAGGCCTTAAGACAATAATAAAGTATAGGCCAAATGTCATATCCTCATTTCGAGAAATGAGTTGGTGAGTCCAACGCGATTACAAGAAGGCTAAGTTAGACCCCCTGTAGTAACAGAAATTATTATGGTCTTGTAGACAAGATAAAATCGAACATGAATTAGGGATTGGAGGAATTTCAGAGATCGTGCTCCAACAATAATAGAATAAACAACAGACGAATAACCTTTAAAGTTCATTTAGGAAATCGTTTGCCTAAAGCAAGCACTCTGAGCAGAGTTAATCTTAAGGGACCAAGTGTGCCAGTTTCAGTAGGTGACACCTTCGTGCGTAAGAAATTTAGTTATCCTTGGTACAGAAGGGTTACCATAAGGCAATTAAGGTTCATTGATAATGTGAAAAGACGCCAAAGATGAAGAGGTAAAACATCTATAGGTAGATCGTCGTAGTACTAAATCATAGTACTCCCCTAAAAGGGGAAATATGGTGTGATATGTTATTAAGTCGGAGTTATTGGTTCAGGTAACTATTGAATAGTAAAGGAAGAATGTGGTAGAAAGGCGAAACGAATGAGATTGTCTTTATTCAGATTCTATCGATATGTCGTGACTCCGGAAAGTTATGCAAGCACGACGCCGGGGAGAGGCAGTAAGAGTTCCCAGCCAGGATATTGTTGATAAATAAGTGTGAATAGACACTTGATACATTAAGAGCCAGTGCAAGAGGTAAGTTAAGACAAAGGACATATACCAAGAGAGATTACGCGGAGCATAGATATGAGAATTGACCAATGAGTAGTTAGTAGTTGATTCAGGAAGAGCCTAGTTATGGCTAAACAAGAGGATACAGACAAATCATGCAGATTGTGCAAGGTAAACGTAGTGAACCCCAACATAGTAAATTCAGTCTTGCAGATATGACATCGTAATCCCTGAGAAATATTAGATAGGAGTTGAGGTAGTTAAAGGTATCGTTTAAGTTTTATGAAAATAAGAGAGAGTGCCACTAAGGAAAAAATCAAAATTTGTGCTTAGAAGTAACCGTACGAGCATAACGGCACAAAGTTATGTAACTAAGGATTATTATAGGCGAGTAAGAACAACGAAAATTTCCTTCGGGTGTACGATATATCAAGCTCGCAACTTTACAAGAGCTAGAAGGTCTCCCTAAGTACTACAATGAAAG